CAGCTGTCTTCATACAAACTGGCACTACTACCCGTGCAAGCAATCCTGCTGAGGAAAACTGGAGAAGTTAATATAAATCAGTCAAGTCGACGAGTGTTATGGAAAACAGTACTGCTGGAACCTGATCTGTCTGACCTTTCAAGAAGCAGCATAAACTGTATAAAGTTAGCCTCCGATTGTGTTTACATCTGCAATATCTACTTCTATGGGGAAAAGTAACCCTATGGAAAGCGTGAATTTGTCTAGTTATATATGTTTGCTTTGATCTGGTTGTTTCCGCATCTCTATAAACTATTGTATTCACTGTGTCTCCGGCTGCGCATCTCTCTTCTGTGGGTGTGCTGTGCTTATCTTCGACTGAGAAACAAGGAAAGCTGGTTGAGTTGCGCTGAATATTCAAATAAACAAATTAATATACGTACAATTACATTAATTTTCGCGGGTACTAACTTGACACTAACGGCGAATCGCAAACAGCTATGCAGTTGTTCATATGCTTAATTTTCGTTTTCGTTGCCTTTCTGTTGTATGGCTCCTGACATTCTTTAGATATTAAGTGATTTTACATACCAATTCAATTCTTTTGATATGAATTTCTTTGTTTCAGTATCTAATGCAGCTTTCTGCACCAACATACAGTTCGTCTGTCTAGCAGAGGTGTACTCGGATAAATAATGATATTCACGGACAAACAAGAGTAGGATCATAATAACAAGTCGGAAGGAAAACCGCAACCGCCATGCGAGGTGGAAAGGCCTCAGAATGTAAAGTTTACACTCTGATATTTCTTCATAGATTCGCTGCTTTTCACCTCAATGCTCTATCGAGCATGTTGCTCGGAGCAGCAACTACAGTTCGGCTAATCACGCAGCAAGTGAACCTTCGCATACTGAGGCAAACAACGGCGATTTCGACAGCTATTCGCTGTGCATACCGGCTGACGGAAAAGCGGAACAAGTAGGTAGCTAGCTAGCTAGCTAGCTACCTAGGCGGCGGAAATCTGCCTGTCTAGGCAGAGATAGCTGCGAGGATGGCGACCAAACCGGCAGTTAGAATGCTTGGAACGCTAGCATCTGCAGAGCTGGTTACAATCGGGTCCTTCAGATCGTCTTCCGTCATACTTTTTAATTCATCTTGTCGTGCAATAAGTTCCTTGAAGTACTCCTCGCTGCAAGAAAGATGAAACAACCAGTAAGAAACAAAGAATACATTACCAGTTATTGTTGCTGTTCACGCGTAAATTTTGCGTAAGAACCATCTAAAATTCGAACCAAAAAAACCGAGCATACCTGAAGGCGGCCTGGCCCTCTGCTGCTGCAGGACTTAATTCACAGAATAGCGTAGCCTTTGTTGGGTCGTCTCCTTCTGACGAATCTGGTTGTTTTACGCACTTGCCGATGACGCAGCCGATTTTAGTGCTACTGGCTTCGAGGAGGTGCAAAAGGCTGGGGACTCCATCCTTCTCCCATATCGCTTGCCAAGCGGTTGTATCTTTTGGATATGTGTTGCTGTTAAAGAAGCATAAACAATCAATGCAACGCAACACAAATGTAATGCATTGAAGATGGGTGAGGAGAAAGCGGTGAGGATGGCATGAGAGATGTGCTACGGATGAGTGCTGTCGCTTTGATTTGGTCAGAAAGCAGATGGAAGCTGCCTGTAGAGAGGATGAGTGTCGCATTTCCATAGGTGAATTGGGCCAGTCCGGTTTGGAGAGCACCCTGCACCAGTGTACGGTAGTCAGGATTATCTGTGTATTCGAAAGTGACGTGGAAGAGATTCTTCTGTAAACCGAAAGAATGAACAAAACGACAATACAGCTTTCTAATGTTCAGTTTGAATACGCGACTAATTTCTGCCGGCTCTGACAACGGTGTCTATAGTTAGACTTGCTGCTGATGGTGACACAACAATGCCCGCAGCAACATCATACAAACCTGCCTTTCGTAGTGTATGCGCTCACAAGTGCATCGACTATGAATTCCTCGCATGTCACATCCGTGCCGTCGGTTTTGGCTGCTACTTTTTCCTGCAAGGTGGAGACAGTCTGGCTATCCATTTCGACTGTATTTGTCTTAGCCGAAATTTTTCCATTACGGGCCAGCTTTGCCGTTAAGTAGGCGTCTGCAGAGAACAAAGGCGGAGAGGAATATCAATATGCAATGCACCGACCTCTGTTGCAGCCGAGTAGTTGACGGCTTGACAGAAAACAAGATGGGGGAAAGCACAAGGAATGTAAGAATTCTAAGAGGTAATAATCTTACCATCTTTTACTGGGACTACCTCAAATTTATATTTTGCTGGAGTTTCCGCCCCGCATTGGAGCCCAAAGAGTCCGACGAGGCAAAATGCTGCTGCGGTCTTGTAGAGGGGAGCCATTGCGCCAGATGGCAAGAAAATTTTTTAAAAGCTTTATCGGCGAGAGAAATATAAAGATTCAAATTGAGGAGAGCGGAAAAGACGGCAAGCAGTTCGGAGTTCTTCGCGTGGTCCTGCAGTCGCGTAAACGGCGAGTGGCAAAAAAACGGGACAGCAAAGCCAAAATGGCAAAAAAATAAAAAAATTAAATATAATTAATATTGAGCAAAAATAAAACAAACAGGAATTTTTGTGCTTGACTTATTCTCTGAAATAAACCATTTAATTTAAACACATGCAAAAAACAAGCAAAACCAGAGACGCGCCAGGTCGGCAGGCGCAGCAGGTCGAGGTGGTAAGAAGAGATATCTCTGTGGGTTGTTGCTTTCGCCTTGGTTTCGGGTTACGTCTGCCTTCCCATACTACTCAACGGTTATAAGCCAATTAAACAAATCATTTTACTTCCAATTAAATCTAGATCCATCTCCAAAAACGGTTTTTATGGGGGGATACGGCGGGGAGCCCCCCCCTCCCTCCTGCTCATTGCGGGGGGTGCTGTGGCCCCCTTCCGGTGCTCTACGACTGGGCTTTTTTGCCCTGTGACTGCCTTCGTGTGCCCTTTAGCCGTGAATCGTGTTATGGCATAGTGCTACATGCAGACAGCTCAGGCAGAGGCAATGGTGTGTGGCAGCTTCCTTGGTGTTTGCAAACGTCTCCAGAGCCAGTGGCTTGGTTGTGGTGGCGGTCTGAGCGAAGGGTCGATGCTGGTGTTTGCACAGGCAATGAAGCATCATTTCTCCTCCCTAAACCAAAATAATAATTAATTAATTTATTATGTTGTTTAAATGCAAACAAACACTGTGGATATACCCCAGCTAGTCCCGAAAAAACGTTGAACAGAAGTTCTAGGTTCTGCGGTTCAGGGTTTAGGGTTTCGGGTTTTATGGTTTGGCAATTGAAACAGGATCTGAAGCCCGATCCGCCTGAAACTGTGTTTTGAATTTCTTCTGGAGTGCGGGCTGGTTGCTGGCGGCCAATGAATGGGGTAGCGTATACCTGCAGTGTTAATCTGTGCGGGGGAGTGGTGCTTGGATATGCATACCCAGGCCAGTCATGAGGTGCAGCAGAGTGAACACTTGAGACGAAAGTTTTAAAAAAAACTGATGATAATATCCTCTCCATTCTTTAAATACCCCAGGCAAGGAGGTACAATGGCCTGAGACTGATGTTCAGAGGGGGTGACCTCTAGCGAGTTGCAATAAACCGTGCTGCTGCTGCCTTGTAGTGCACTCGCACTACAAAGTACTGCGGTTAGAATAGGAAACTAGATAAGCGAATGAACTAAAGATTAGAAAAAGTAATAAGTAGGATAAACTGACTATAGTTTCGTATCAATTTAGACTAGTAATGCGCTTTACGGGCAACCGTATACCATAGTCGCAGTCTCATGGAGAGAGAGGCCGGTACCGCGGAGCATGTATCGGCCGCACCCTGCGGATCTAGCGGCCGCGGGGGGCAGAACAATCTTGGCGGGAAATTTGGTTTTAGTTCGGGTATCGACATAAACCTTTGATTTAATGGATATACAGTTAAATTGTTACAAACAAGTCATTCACGCAGTCCTTCGCATACCAGCCATAGTGATGATTGTCACCGGGTCATTACATGCCTGCTGCAGAGCGGTTGTAGATTAGAGCTTAAGCGACTGCCCTGATCTTCTTAGCTAATTTGTTAAATCAAGATGTGGACTCCTTTTTTCTCTCAAAAGCATTTACTTCTTGATGAGGAGCCGCCCGTACAAATCTGCGTCGTTGAGTTCAAGGCGGCGGTGCGGCGAGTAGAAGAAGCTGAATTTCAGAGTACTACTGAACAGAATGATGAATTATGTTAAAGGAACAGACAAAATATGAATAACAAATCAAATAGATACTTTTTTATGAACATCCTAATATTGTAGGCAATATTCAATAATAAATTGGATGAAATACTTCTCGATCCACATTGACTGCAGACAGATTTCCTATAAGTCTGTTCTTCGGCAGCTAAATTACACAAGACGAGCCAAGGCATAAATATACGGTACTACTGCAACAGCACACACACACATATAAATATACATACACATATATATATATATATATATATATATATATATATATATATATATATATATATA